GTCAGAGGAACACAATGACGAAATTATTGAGGCAGTTAATGAAAGAATAGTAGAACTCGAAACGCTAGTACGCGACAGCACATTTAGTACCCAGGAGGAAACGGACAACACAGTGCAACATATATGTAATATTATTGATGACATTCCTTTTATACGTAAAAATAAACCAATTTTGGTGAGAAATGTGAATCACATAGGTAAACACACAGTGGATAAACAGGAAGACAAGCCATGGTTCAATGAAGAGTGTAAACGAAAAAACAGAACTTATTTATCATTCCTTAGAATATTCAACAGTGATAAAAAATTTGAAACACACAGGAATTTACATAATGCAAAGAGGGCGTATAAGCCATTGGAAAGACGCCGAAAGCGTGAATATTAGCGAGATGAAGGCGATATGTTTGATAATATGAGGAAACGTAATCCAAGACTATTCTTCAAATATTTTAGCAAACGCAAGTCGGCTAAAACTTCGAACTTTAATATTGACGATTTTCGAAGCTACTTCAAAAGTCTTGTGTCTCTTAGTGATGGAGATAACATGGACAGTGACGGTCAACAACACCCAGATGAAGATGTTATTTACCCTGAACTTGATAATGAATTTACAGAAGAAGAGATCCTTACTGCGATCAGAAACTTAAAAAGAAATAAAGGACATGGAACAGATGGCACTATAAACGAACTTATCATTGAGTGTAAACATACTTTGTTACCCGTTATTAAATGTTTAACAAAATCTTAGATCAGGGAGCATAAGCTGTCTGAGCAAGGTCGAAAAGCAATGTTTGCACTAAACTCAAAGACACGGAAGTTTGATTTTAATGTACAAACTATGTTATCATTATTCAGAACCTATGTGAGCCCAATTCTCAATTATGCAAGCGAGATCTGGGGATTTTATTGTGCCAAGGATATTGAAAAAGTACAAATGCATTTTTTAAAGCAAGTGGTAGGGGTGAAGCGAAGTACAGCTAATAACATGATATATGAGGAATTAGGAGTATATCCTCTGATCACAATAAGAAAGCAGAGAGTGTTCAAATTGGTTGAAATTAGTACATAGTCAGAATTGTATTATGACTGAAATATATAATGATCTTATGGAAAGGTTAAATGTTAGTGTTAAATATAACTGGTTGAGAGATATTAGAAATGAACTGTATACTATGGGACTGGGTTACATCTGGGACACCCAGGTGACACTAAATGTAAAAAGTGCTCTGGATATTATTAAACAAAGATTTTTTGATTGTTGTGTACAAGAAATAAGGAGTCATATAGCTGAATCGACCAAATGTAGTATGTATAGACACCTTATATATGCACAAAGTTTTGATATGAAAATTTATCTCGGGAAACCTATCCAATTCAAGTACAGAAAAGTCATTACGAAACTCACTCCAGTCCAGTACCCAGTTAGAAATTGAGCAAGGTAGATATAGAAATGTACCAAGGAACCAAAGAATCTGTAAATTATGCAATTTAGATATTGAGGACGAATAACACTTTGTGCTTAAATGTCCATCTTTTCAGATACATAGACATATTCACATGAAAAAATATTATTGGTTGAAACCCAGCATGTTTAAATTCATTAGTCTTTTGAACTCTAGCAATACATCTGAATTATGCAAATTTGAAAAGTTTCTGCACAAATCATTTATGTTGAGAAATAATCTGAAAACAAATTTAAATGTATGAACTAACAACAATGCGTTCTCCTCCAATACATTATTTTTATTATTTTTCTTTAACTAGTATATCACTGATGATGTACATTCATACGATTGGTCTTTTTCAGGGTAAAATATTATCACCGATTTTGTACTCCATGTACGTGAACGATTGTGAAATACATTTTATCAAGGAAGGATGTCCTTCAATTGAACTTAATTTGATTAATATTTTTCTGTTGATGTACGCTGACGATATGGTTTTATTTGCAGAAACACCAGAAAAACTACAGGAAGTTATGGATGCTCTGAAAGTATATAATAACAAGTATAAGCTTACATTAAATACAGAAAAGACGAAAATAGTAGTTTTCAGGAATGGTGGCATAATACGGAATAACGAAAAGTGGATATATGATAACATAGAGCTGCAAGTTGTTAATCAGTTCAATTACTTAGGAATGCTTTTCAATTATAATGGTAAATTTAATGTTACACAAAAACACGTTGCAGAACAAGCAAA